CCTTTAATTCAGTGTTTATCATTCTTTTTTTTTTTATTGTGAACATACTGTACAGAGGGGTTACAATTACATGGGCAAGATGGGTACATTTCCTATCAAGCATTGTAGCCTCCTCCTTTGTTTACCCTTCACATCCCTTCCCAGCCTCCCCCCCAGTGTTTATCATTCTTTTGTGTGTGTGTGTGTGTGTGTGTTTATCATTCTTATGTCTCATTTTGCTCTTATTACTTATGAGGGTATCCTTTATCAACATGCAGTATTGTTTTTACTTTTTAAATTTTTCATATAAATGTCAGCATATGTATTCTTCAACTTGCTTCTTCTCCAGTCCACATTGCTAGGATTAATCTACTTACAGAGTTCTAGTTTGTTAATTTCCATGGTGGTTTAGTACTATGTAAACTGACCGTATCGCCACCCTCTTGATGAATACACACTGAAATAGCAAAACCTAGAAAAAGTGACACCAAGCATTTTGAACACACAAACTAGTTTCCCCAAAATCATGTCTTCCCACATCTTTTCTTTTAAACTACAATCCACAGTAAAAAATATATTTTACATTTTGAGCTTTCCTCTGTGTGTGTGTGTGTGTGTGTGTGTGTGTGTGTATCTTGTAGCTTTTTGTGTATATGTACCAGTATCTAACAAACAGAAGTTGCATGTGCTACTACTGTCTCTATTTATTTTCTGTTAGCCTCTTTCCTTAAAGGAAGTAATAAGAACTGGGTTATAAATGACACTGAAATGACTGCAAAACTCCCTGACATAGGCTGCAACCACAGCTGGGCCCTGCCGCAGGATATAACTGCAAGGAGTGGAACTGCTCAGCTATGGAGTACGTAGACATTCGGCTTTGCTAGACAATTCCAGTTTTCTTAATTGCCAAAGCAAATTATGCTCCAAATACACAGATAAGCAGTTTCCATTGTCCTATCTTCTCATTGGACTCAAATGCATCCCTACCTATGTGAAATACCATCCTGCAATACAAGTTTTTATTTGCATAATTAGAAGCCAGTCCAAACACCTTTTCCGGATTTTTACTGGCCATATGTATTCTCATATTCTATAAACTCTGCGAATCTATATATAGTAAAAGCTTCTGTGCTTACCCCAGATCCTGAGCTGAGATGCATCGGATATGTGGTTCTGATGGAGTATGTTTAAATCTGTGACTTGCTAAGAGAAGAAAACCAGTCAAATATTACCTACTCAGGAAGACATTAAATTCTTCTGAGGCCACAGTAAAGTAGCTAAAAGAATGAAGGAAGCCGGGCGCTGGTGGCTCACGCCTGTAATCCTAGCTACTCAGGAGGCTGAGATTTGAGGATCGCGGTTCAAAGCCAGCCTGGGCAGGAAAGACTGTGAGACTCCCATCTCCAATAAACCACCAAAAAACCGGAAGGGGCTTGTAGCCCAAGTGGTAGAGGGCTAGCCTTGAGCTGAAGAGCTGAGGGACAGTGCCCAGGCCCAGAGTTCAAGACCCACAACCGACCAAAAAAAAAAAAAAGAATGAAGGAAAACAGGCAGAAAAATGTGTATTTTTTTCTTCAATTTTTTTTCCCCCTTAAAGTTAAAAAAGTCCTAATTTGTAGAAGCTGCTCTTGCAAATCAAGCTATGGGAATTTGGGTAACTGTTGTTACTCTTTCTGTTCTCAATTTTCCAATCTGTAAAATTAGGGTAACAGTCTGTACTATTTTTCTTACCCCATGTGGAAATTTTGAAATAAACATTCTTTCAAAACTTTGAAAATAAAGAGTTCGTAGATAGTCAAGATTGTGTGGGTGTTAGTGAGAGGAAGAAACTGTAGTTCTTTGAACAGATTTTTGGAGTGAGCAGCTCTCTTGAGTTCCTGCCTGAAAAGCTTGGTTGCTCTGCTGAACAATAAGCTATCCCCTAAAATGACAGCTCAACATTTCAGAAAAGAACCCAAGGAGATTCTTCACCTTATAGGTACAGACACTAAATCCTTTGGCAGGCATGTGGCCTTTCTGGGGTCTCCCGATTCCTGGGTCAGACTTTTAGCCTTTGGTCTGATTCCCTCTGCTGCAATATCCACCTTGAAGTCAGATGTACTTGCTTCAGAATCAGCCACAAGAGCAAGGGCTCAAAGTCCATACCACTTCACCTTTTTCCTCTCAACATGAAACTGTCACAGAAAGAAAACAGGTACACAATGGATAAAGCTAATCCCCAAGAGCTTCTTTCACTGAAGAGTTTCAAGAAGCTAAATAGATAATAGATAAATTTTACCAAGGCAGATCACACCAGTTGCTGCTGCCACACATCCTTGCTATGGTTTGCTGCCAGCACTGTTCCAATCCTTTACACAGTCACTCTACCAAGTGGGATACCAGGCTTGGCAGAAAGAAACCACCACAATCCCCATCATACACCCACCCTCCCCACCTTGGGCAAATGGGTGTGCCATGTGACTTTCACTGATACTCATGATCAGTCTTTGTTTCACCTTCTTTTGCTCCAGGCATATTCTCAAAGTTCTATTGGAAATTTTCCTAATTTGGTGCATTAACAGGGAAGAAAATCATACCTACTGATAATCTTGAAGGGCCATGCCACTGAGCAGTAAAAAGGCTTAAAATAAAAGCCTGAAGAAATTCATCTTATTTTGGTTGCAATAATGAAGCTGAAGATACACACACACACACACACACACACACACTTAGTAAAGATTTATCTAATTTTTCTGTTGAGACTGTAGATAGCTGGCATCTACTGTGAAAAGCAAGCCAGTAAGGGCCAAAAGCCAGTAAAGAATAGAATGACGAACCCCGTGAGATGAAGTACTAGTACAGATTGTTTTACTTACTTGTTCCTATTCTGTTCTTCAAAGCCAACACCCAAGGGCCAAAGAATTCAAAAGTGGGGTCCTAGGAACAATTTTCTTCTAGCAAAAAAGAGTCCCTCATAGGCACCAGTTTGTCTAGGTCTCAGACACAGGTAGTATAAAAGAAACACTTCAAACATACAAGAATATTTCTTACTTGTTAATAGTTCACTTCTCAGTTGTTAATAAATCTCTTTTCAGTTCAAAACAAACCAAAAATTCACAGGGAAAACTGAGACATTCAAGAGTTGGGTGTTTTAATTAGGACAAGTCTCTCTCTCTCCCTCCCTCCCTCTTTCTCTCTCTTCTTGCTTCTCATGATTTTTCTTGTGAAGTTGCTGGTCATAAAACGTTAATATGGCAGTTCCTTTCACCTTGATAATCAAATAAAAACCAGTTTGAAAACAGAATGAAACAAGGGGGAAAGTTGGTGGGGTTATTTTTGAAACACCTTATACTTGCTTCAAGGTTCAACCATGTGCAAAGTTCATGCAGCTGTGGCATTTTGTCCCGGCACACCAGTCTCTGGGAAGTAACCAGCAGATGAATTTAAGGTATCCAGCAACAGAAAGCCTTCAGTTTTCTCTTAAACTTTATTGGTCCTAGCTGGAGAGAAGGTGGGGCTACAGGAACTAATACAAAGCTATTTTCACCTAGTGCCAACGTATCACAGGCTACTTGGCCAAAAATCTGGGGAACAGGAATCAGCTACTGCTTAGAATACCAGGCATCTTGTAATGGTCTATTTACAAAATATAGCTCATTTTCACATCCAAAGGGTAACTTGGGAACATCTCCAGACGCCACTTAATAACTGAAGCAGGAAACAAACAAACAAAAAATCCTCAGAAAATATCATTGTTTAAATACTCTATTTTTATTTTGTCTTAAAATAGTTTAACCTTTATGCTAACAGACTTATTTCAAAAAACAGAAAATCTTATCTTGCACCAAAAAATATATATAACACTCTGTTTTATTATTTTTTTTCTCCAAAGACCATTAAATACTAAATGGAAACAAAAACTAAACAATGAATGTAAAGAACCAAATTTCATTTTAAAACTAGAGTTGCACATTTTGAAAACATTACTTCTACGCAATGATTTGTCGTCACTGCATCAAGTTCATACTCAAACGCCAGCAACAGCAGATCTGTTAACCACCAAGTGCATTGGTTCCTAGCCATACAATGGCTGACATTTTATGTTCATGGTAAGTGGAGCAAAAGGTTCAACAACCTTTGTGCTCTTAAAAAAAAAAAAATTTCCTAGTTATCCAGTGATTTTTTTTTAAGATCACTACCCTTTAAAACTTGTTAAAAGAGTAAGTAGTGTTTTAAATAAAATGGAAAAAATAACAACAGTACTGGACTAAAATATGTGATTATTTTAAACAAACAGTGCACAATTGGAGGAAGTTTGGTTAGGGTGCAATCACTTTTATATACATGGAAGTCACATCATACACATATTGGGGAACAGGGATGGGAGCTCAACTCTGCCTTCAAAAAGAAAAGGTTAAAACAAAAAGACAAAAGTGTGTCCCAGGCTTTTGAAGAACCTTGTGACACAGTATGAAAAGCAGGCAACAAATTTGTTAAGTTACCCTTGATGCTAATCTGTTAAAAGATGAACAAATGACTAAATTAACAAATCAGGTGGTTCATGTTCACAAATGATGACAAAGCAGTTTATGGGATACCCAGTTATATATAATGGAGTCTATTTAATCAGACCCCTATCATCAAAATAAAAAAAAACAAAAACTGAAGAGCAGCAACCTTAAGTTACAGGGCAGTTATAATGATGATGTTTTTTCAAACTGGATGGGGAAGAAAATTAACCAAGTTCGTGTCATAAACCAATCTATGACCCAGATGCACCACAGAAGTATTATTTTGAACAATGTCCTTTGGAAGCATAATTAGTTCTTTATGCTACCAAATAAGAAACTTTGGCTAAGAAAGCAATCCCTTGAAAAGAAATTTCAAATATGGGAGTCGTATATCACAGAATGTTATCATTAACACTTTGCCTGAAATCATCTTGCTCTCTTTCTGGGTACAACAATGAAAGAGGAGTTGGAACATACTCTCATTTAGTTACTAGGCGAACAAGTCCCAATATAAGATGGGAGAAAGCTGTCTCTAACATCTCCTTGCATTCCATCTCTTTTCATATCTTAATGCCTAAATCTCTGTTCTGGTGCATCAAGCCAGATAGACAGGGAACTAGAAAAAGAAGTGAAGGGAAAAGTGCCTTATATGAAAGCTTAAAAGGCCAGAAAAGAGCTCAGTTGTAACTCCACTCTGCCCCCAATCCACAGTGCACAAAGCACATTGAAAAGTTTTCAGAGGGTGACTACTAAGGACTAAAGAAAATATGTCATGAGCAATCATCCACTGCATAGGATTGGACAAAATACACGATTAACATGAAAATAGGTAATACAAAAACATTCTTTAAAATGGAGCTATGCCCTGATATTGGTGGGTGGGGATGGGGGGGATGAGAAATAAACTACAAAAACTTCAAGTCATACACTCCACTCTACTCTCTTACCAATGATTTTCCTGGAAAACACAGACCAGAAATTATACATTTCTGCTTTGTTGAGTATTTTAATTCAAGTAAAAAACAATGTACGTGTAACAGTAAAACTCAATAAATTAATCCTAAATCAAGTTGTGAAGGCCCAAGGATATACCAATAGTAAATCTTAAGAAGGTCCTGCTTTGCTCTGGCCTCTGGGTCTTTGGTTTCTATCTAGGATTGTGGCCATGTGAAAGAACGATGTACGATGTGCTAATACATGGCCTTGTATGCCTGATTCATTCGAAGTAGATAGAGGGAAAAATGAAGCACTAGTGAAGAACAGAGGCCAGATCAAGTGAGATTCTGTCAGAAAAGATTAAGGAACACATGCTCAAATACATCCCCCATGGAAGAAGCAACATGTAGAAAAGAAACAGGAAAGAATAAACTTGTCTATCTATGAAAAAGAAGAAAAGGCCAGGCAAGCAGAGCCAGGCAATTTCATGCATGCACATGCAAGGCTGTGTCTCATTCATCTCAGCGGCCTCCACAGTGCCCACCCTGCATAGTGCTTATGCAGAGCAGGCACTTAGTCAGTATGTGTTCACTGAATGGAAACAGAAAATAGTAGTTCTCATACTCTTATAATCAGGAAGAGCCACCAAGGCATTTGGGAAGAGAGGCACAAGGCCAGAGCAATGACATATGGTAACAATGGAAACAAAGAACAAAAAAAGCAAACCCAAACATTAAAAAAATAAAAAAAAAAAAAAAAAGGTGAAGTCTTCTGAGCCAATAAATACTTCACTCCTCCCTGTGCAGAATACATAGTGTCTAATTCTAGGTATTGCTTTTAAAATAATTCACTAGTAACTACAACATGTCACAGGAAAAAAGGTAGCAACTAATGCCACAAAACTCCTATGCTGGCATTTCTTTAATTCCCTGAAGTTTCTACTACCTTTTGCTACTCCTTTTAGATCTATAAGACTTACAGTTCCATTAATGTGCTTTGCATCTGACTTTTTATGTTATATTGTGATTTCTCTTATAGTATATATACTTTTACAAGATAAGAGGAGAAAAATGTCCGAATACAGCATCAGGTCCAGTTCAACAGTTGTTAAACACTCTTTATGGAGAGACAAGCTATGAAACAAGGCACTTTCCTCTCAGATTTGCAAGTGCCTATAGCTTCATAAATCACATAACTTTTCATAGTTTTCCTAAGTAATAGCTTTCTATGTTCTCCAGTTATTTGGATAAACCAGGGAGAAAAGCTTAAGGGAAAGAGATTTTCCCACTGATTTCTCAATACTCTCTTCAGATGCTTAGGAAACCTCATGGTAGGTTTTCCAAAAATGCCTCTGCTCCAAATGAGACATTTTCCAAAGAGTTATTATGAATTATTGCAACAAGGAGACCAACTAAGTCACCTTTCTAGTATTAGAAATCAAAAACGGCAAGCCAATTATTTGTGTTGTGGGAAGTCAACCAGGTACAAAGTCAGGAAAGAAGTCAGAGTACTTAAGCTAAAAGAAAAAAAGAATTGTAACACTTCTGTGTTCTATTTTTAAGTATACATGCCCCACAAGTGCCCATATGGACCTGAATGACATGTGCAAATGCCCTAAGGTGAGTGATTGTGAAGCGGGTAGATAGTGGTCAATTCTGGATATTGTCATTACAGAAAAAAATAAATACAAGATTAAAAAACTAAAATACACTTTACCTGGCAATTAAAGTACTATTTCAAAAGGAAGGTGACCTTTTAAAGTCACCAAACAAAATGAAGGTGTTTAATAAAAAGTAATTATTATATGTTCTTAATGAGTGAGAAAAGAAATTATTTTTTGTGGTAAGTTGTTTTCCTAAATGACTTCTTTTAAAGAAAAAAGAGGGAGGGAGGGAGGGAAATAGGGATTCCATGAGTTTCAATTCTACAAATGCCACAAACAGCTTCTGAAGCTGAAGCTATGACAATGAACTTCCATGTCACAAAGAGGAAGAGGAAGTGAAAGGGAACAGTGCAGAGGAGACACAGTGACATTGCATTACAGTAGGTATTTACGTCTGCTATCCTCATCCAAGGTAAGGTCAACAACTTCTGCTGGAGAAGCCCAAGTCTGCTGAGGAGCCACAGCAGTCCATGACTGTGTCTGCCGGGTGTTGCCATACTGTGTGCCAGAGCCATGCTTCCATGAAGAAACACTCTGAATCACACCTCCTCGGGGATGAACACACCTGTAATTGAGTAAAGGAAAAAGTATAGCTAATCCACTAGAGGAAAAATACAAGACAATATGACCACACTTGTACTGAAAAATACTTTTACTAGACCTAATTATGCAATTTAATGAACCCCACAATCAATAAACCCTTCTCCTCTTCCTCATCCATGTCTGTCTGCCTCAAAGGTACCACCACTATCCTTTCATTTCTCTCCCACTTCAGCTGTAATAAGGCTGAGAGCCTTATCTCCATCAGCTCCTGAGTTGTGCCTACCTCTGTCACTAACAATGGGTTAGGTGATATTTCTCTGGACACATTCAAATCTCTATGATCTTCATAACAGGGAATATTTACTCGATCTTAGTTTGTAACAAATGAAAATGAAATAAAACAAGTAAAATCTGTCTTACAACATATTTGGGTAAATAATACTTTTAAAGTGACAGTAAAACCAAAAAAGTCTGTAAGTATTTGGTCCTGCATAAAGGATCGATTCCTTTCTCCTGAAAGTGTCATAACAGAAACACTAGGTTCACTCAGCAGAACTGCTCCTGTTTGTTTCAGTGAAAGTAACAAGGTGGGTGCACTCCCTAAAAGGACCTTTGATAGGGACAAGACTTGTCTGCTGACAAATCACACCAAGAGTTCAATGGGGAAAAAAATTGTTTCAGAAATACTGACAGCTTGAATTGAATGCTGCAGTAAAACAATAGAAGTGTGAGCCTCTTCGAGAAGTACAGAGAGTTTTGACTCATGAGAGGAAGGCAGGATGCTCAAGCTACTTACACTCACATCAAATTACTGACTCGTACTCTCTTAGCATATGGGAGAAGTAACAAGTGGCACAAGTTTCATCACATAAACTACTATAGTGGCTCCTGAGCAGCTGTTCTGAAAATTATTCTAAAATGAGCACCATGGTCTCTGGAGATGTCTAAGTTTGGCTTAAAACTACTTGCATTACCAGGTTCAAAAGAACAAAGGGTAGCAACTAACAAGAATCAGTTTAAAAAACTGTTCAAATGGGGCTGGGAAGGTGGCTCAGTGGTAGAATACTTGTCTTGCATGCATGAGGCCCTGGGTTCGATTCCTCAGGACTGCATAAGCAGAAAAAAACAAAGTGGTGCTGTGGTTCAAGTGGTAGAGCACTACACTTGAGCTGAAGAGCTGAGGAACAGCGCCAACACCCAGAGTTCGGGCCCCATGACAAACAAAACAAAACAAAACAAAAAACTGTCCAAAGATGTTGAAGCCCCCAGGAAAATGCCCTGTACCTTCGAAGGCTAGCCTGAAAGCTAAGAGTCTAAGGAATGGATCTCCTTGTGGCCCCAGAGCATAGGGAAGAACACAGATTTGTTCTGAGTGGAGATTTGTTCCTGTTAACATTTGTTAACATGAAAAACAGCTATAATCCAGAGCCTACTACATTTTCAAAGATTACCTAGTTGAGCATTAAAATAAAGGACATAAAGTTCAATGTCAAGCCCAAAACCATCCAACCCATCAAGATCAGATTAAGTGACCATGTACTCATGGAAAAATGCCAGAAAAAGAAATCAATTTGAGCGGGGTACCTGTGGCTCATCCCTGTAATCCTAGCTACTAAGTAGGCTGAGATATGGGGATTGTGGTGCAAAACCAGACCAGGCAGGAAAGTCTGTGAGACTCTTAGCTCCATTAATCACCAGAACACCCCAAAATGGTGCTGTGGCTTAAGTGCTTGCCTTGAGCTGAAAAGCTCAGAGACAGCACACAGGACCAGAGTTCAAGCCCTACAACCAACAACAACAACAAAAAGACATCAATTTGATGACTGACAACAGAATACTGTTTATTGCAGTTTTATATCTATTACCTCTTTTGACAATTCCAACAGACCTATGAGGTAGAATAGAGGTTATTATCCACACACTACAGAAAGGAAAACTGAGGCTGAGGTTGATTTGCTCAGGTCAGGTCACATTGCTTATAGTAGTGAAATAGTAGGCCAAGGAACTTCAAGGTAGGTCTGTTTCAGCTTCAATACTTTCTATATTATGTTGTCACCTTCTTAGTGTGTGAAGGATTTTTTTTGGTGAGATAGAACATATCAAGATATCAACAGAATACAAACGCAGACCTAAATTAACAAAGTAAGGTTTTCCCAGAGTTCAAAAGCTCATCTGTATATAACTAACTGAAGTAATGCTGGCTAGAACTGCATTAAGAATTCAGGGAAAACTTGGCTATCAAGAAAGTTAATGCAATCTTTCACAGAATTTCTAGTAATATCTTCATAGTAATAAAGGGATATAGTCCCAATTGTTACTCTATATTGCTCCCTAAGTAATAACACTATAATATTGGGATTTTAAAAAGGATCTCATCATGCCTCCATTAAAGGGGTCATTTTCCAGTACATAGCTACGCCTTCCTCAGTCTATAATATATTTAAAGTTCTAAACTATGCTTGGCTTTTGATAAAAGGACATTTGATAAAGGGCATTTGATAAAAGCAAAACAGATCCTATAGTGTCTGGTATAGGAAGAAGACTGAATGAGAGGTTTAAAGATCAAGTTTACTACTGAGAAAGGGCTGTGGGAGAGAAGAATGAAGAGATAATGCACTCTGTCAACTATCTAAATAGATTACTTCTGTAGTTATAAGTGATTCTTGTTTTCAGAAACCATGTTAAGCTACTTTAAACAAAAATGGGGAATCATTAGGAAGACACTAGGTATTCTGAAAAAAATGTAAGACTGATGGCACAAGTCCCAATCCTCTAAGTCTCTTTCTCTTCAAATTTTGAGATTCTCAGAAGCATGTGATAGTCTTGTCTGGTCCAAAGCTGTGTTGGCCCTATTTAGCTTTAATAAGAGGATAGTTCCCAAAAGAGAATCAGTCAGAGGTGGGGAGCTCCCTTGAAAGATAAATCCGTGTCCAGAGATCTCAAAGGCAGAAGTGCCACAATCAATTACTAGAAGTCAAGTTTTGGATGATTATTTCTACACAACAATACGTCACTACTCAACAGAATAACCATTCTGCCTAGGCAACCACACTTGCTTCTAACCATTCAAATAACTGCTAGAGTTATTTGATAACATGAGTTATCATGATAACATGAGTGACCTCTACAGTCATCAGTGACTTAGATTTGTGACCAAAACAAGGAAAACTATCCTGTTGGAAGTCAGGATAGTACTTACAGGAGGGGGAAATAGAAAAGAAAATTTGTGAGAGGAAGGTAGCACAAGAAAACTTTCTGTTTCTTGATCTGAGTGCTGGTTGCTGGAGATGACCAGTGTGCAAAACTTAAAGCTCACACTATAATGTGCTATAAGCCAGTGGAATATTATAAAGTCGTTGTGTTATAAGCCAATGAACACTGAATTTTTAATGGCTTAACTGCCTCAATCACTCTGAACAAAATGATAGGAAGTAGGTACAAGAATAGAACCAGAAGCAGCCTTTTAGCACATTTTTTAACCTTAGACACACAATAGAAAGCACATTTGTGTGTCTGTGTGTGCATAGGCACGCACGCACGTGTGCGTGAGAGAGACAGAGACAGAGAGAGGGGAGAGATAGTACTGGAGATCAAGTACAGACACTGCTAGACAAGTGCTCTTGCTACTAAACTATATTCCCCAGCTTTACTTGACACAAATCCAGAAATAGCAACAGCAACAAAAAAACAAAAACTTGCCAGATGCCAAACAAGGTAGCTCATGCGTATAACCCAGCAACTCAGGAGGGAAAGACAAGAAGAATCTGTGTTTGATGTCAACCTAGACAAAAACTGAGGCTATCAACTGAACCAACAAGTAGAGTATGGTGGTACATTCCTGTAATCCTAGGTATTCAGAAGGCACAGGTAGGAGGATTATAGTTTGAAGCAAAAAGCAAGACACTAAAAAGTAACCCAGAGCCAAAAGAGACTAAGGTGGTGCTCAAGTGGTAGAATATCTGTTTTACAAGCAAAAGGCAATTGTTATGCTCCAATACCACAAAAATAAATCAAATAAATAAATAGCTTTAAAGGTACAATAAATAGAATGGTACTGGAAAAACATTCCGAGTATTTTTTTTTTTTTTGGTCGGTCATGGGGCTTGAACTCTGGGCTTGGGCGCCACTCTCAGCTCTTCAGCTCAAGGCAAGTCCTCTACCGCTTGAGCCAGAGCGCCACTTCTGGTTTTCTAGTGGTTTATTGGAGATAAGAGTCTCACGGACTTTCCTTGTCCAGGCTGGCTTTGAACCGTGATCCTCAGATCTCAGCCTCCTGAGTGGCTAGGATTACAGACGTGAGCCACTGGCACCCGGCTCAACTATTTTTAATAAGGCAAGTGTAACAATAGAGAATTCACCAGAAAAAAAGGAAGAAGTAGGACAAGCATTGCTGTAGGTTCTGCAGAGTTGTCCCTTGTGCTCAACTTTTGTTATGCAAGCAGACCTGCATACCTTATCCCATATGCTTTTCTGTATTATGGATGGAGTAGGGCAGGAGAACATATAGCTGGTGGGGAGTTTTTTGTTGCTGGGGTTGGGGGTTTTTGGAGCTTGTACTGGGGCTTGAAACTCAGGGCTCCGGCACTGTCCCTAAACTTTTTTTTTGCTCAAGGTTAGCACTCCACCACTTGAGTCACAGGTCTACTTCCAACTTTTTTTCGAGGTTAAATAGAAACAAGAGTCTCATGGACTTTCCTGCCGGGGCTGGTTTCAAACCATCATCCTCAGATCTTAGCCTTCTGAGTATGTAGGATTACAGGTATGAGCCCTTGATGCCAAGCTCTAGCAGGGTTTTAATGCTTTGTTCTCATGCAGCATTAACACGCACAGGCATGAAACAAACTGTAAATATATTAAGGTGTTCTGTCCTTTTGGCTTTCTCCTCCCTGTACCCTCTGCACCCCGTCCTTCTTCTCCCATTCTTGCTCTTTCTTAGGTAGGGTCTTGCTATGTAGTTGGGGCTGGCCTTGAGCTTCAGATCCTCCTGCATCTGCCTACTGAGTGCTGAGATTACACACGCATGCCACCTCCCTGGATTTACTTTTAAATAAATTAAAAAAAAAAAAAAAAAGCTCCTACCTCATTTCCCAAAATGCTAGAAATTGGTAGAATGATTTCTTGCTTTTTATATAGTAAAACAAATACAGGAAAGGTTTCACAACAGAAAAGAAAAAACAAAAACAAAACAGAAAAACAGTACGCTCTGATGAACAGTTTTTGATATAGTTACTTAGCTCACTAAGTCTAAGAAAACAACATTAAAAATTAATCATTTTTGCTCTGTTCACAGAGCCTGAAGGGAACCTCTTAGAAAATATTCCTACTTACTTTTCTAACTGAAAATGAAACAAAACTTTGTGATTTTAATGAAATCTAGGTCTCCTTCCCTAGATTTTTTTAGGGTCAATGTTAACAATCGGCTCGATGGAGCTCTAAGTTTAAATACAAAACCTTCTGTGTCAATTTCATTTGCTGAGGGACAAACCAACATGAACAGTAATGACTTTAGGATTAACACACTAATTGAATCTGGTTATTCCCAAAAGCCCTGGGTATTTATCACACACCAAAAAAACCTGTCTCATAAAAGAAAGATCTATACTACAGTATATGCATGTTTCTTCCTAAGAAAATTATCAATAAGGCTAGTAAAAGAACAGGAAAAAAGACTAAGTACAAGAAAAAATATTGACATGAGAGTCATAAACTTCAGGTAAAATTAAATAGACACAGAAGAACAAGAGAGATTGGGAAAGTCTTCATCTTACTAGCAAGGAACATCTTGTGAAACTCGACTGTCCAACAATGACCATCTGGAATGATAACAAATTAGATGTCAGGAGCTCACCACAGCAATATAAGGCAGCCATAAAGGATGCATTAAACCATTAGTTCAGAAACATGCTTTCTAATCGATGACTACAAGAAACAGATGCTAAGTAGACACATCAAAATCCAAAATAAAAGAACAGAGAGATATATTAGCATGCAAGAAAAAGAACTTTATCAAATGGGAGACATATCAGAACTAGAATTACTGAGTGCAAAAGTCAAAAAAAAATTCTTCCAATATGGAGAAATAACATTCAACACAAACCAAAGCAACACAATCCCAAAGAGAACAACTCAAGGACCAAGTCTGAATTTTAAAACTCTTGGAAAACTCACAGCAATGTAGAATATCAAAAGCAAAAGTAAGAATAGGACAACTAAGTCCAAACAAAACATCTATACATGCAAATCAAATTAGAACCAAAAAGATGTTGGTCAAAACCTAAAACCTTTTTCCAAGCGATAACCCTGCCAGAAGCACATCAATACTTCATAACTGCAACCCTAGACCTGTAAAAGAAATAAATTCCAGATGAGATGCAAGCGCCTAAAGGGGCAACTCTGAAGCAACCAACAAGAAAGTCTCTTGCCTACCTGCTTCCTAGTATCTTAGATTAACAGGCTGCTTCTATACAAACAACTGAAAAATTTTAGAAAGATAGTAGTCAAGTGAGACTCCCTCTACACAATTCTAAACCAAAAGACCCCATTAAAAATCCTGTAACATTAAAATGTTATAGGACTAGTTGAAAATAATCCAACAGAATCTATGAACTCTACAATCTTTTATACAGAAAATATTAACTACCCCTGAGACTTCCAAATGGATCTGTCACCTATAAAATACGTTTCCCCCAAGATTAAAATCAATGGGTTAGAAGTAATCACAGCTTGATGCTTCATAGCTATAAAAAAAAAAGTTCCTTGAAAGTAATGTTCTCACATAAAATTGAAGATGTAGCCAGCCAGATGTGGGGCCTATGCCTGTAATCCTGGCTAATTCGGAGGTAGAAATTTGTAGGATCATGGTTCAAGGCTAGCTGGCGGGAAAAAAAGCCAACACATTACCTGAAAATAACTAAAGCAAAAAAGACTGGGAAGCAAGGCTCAAAGGTACACCTACCTAGCAAGCACAAAACTCTTGAGTTCAAACCCTAGTACCAGGGCTAGAAGCATGGCTCAACCAGTAGAGTACCTATAAATCACAAAGCATTCAGTTCAAACTCCAGTACCACTTCCCTCAAAAAAACATTAACTAATTAAAACGTAGCTAAAGTCACTTAAGTTAGTTCAGAAATGGTTCAAACACGTCTACAAAATGAATGAATCCAAAGAACACTTACGAAAAAGCCAAAATCAATGCTGATGAACATATATTAAAACAATGGGTAGCAATTTTTCCTATAATGCTTAGATGATTTTATCTTAAAATTTTGAGGTCATATAAACTCTGCCACTGATGATATCCAAAATGAACTAGCATGACTCCATTAGCATAACCTTAACAATGAAATTTGAATATCATGTAATTTTCACATGTCACAAATTAAAGGGTAGAAACTGTTCTAAAATTTCAAACATAGAAAAACAGGAGGCAGGCCAGATTTAGCCTATTACCATAGATGGCTCACTCCTACCCTAAAAAATGCAATACTTCATAAAATTGTTAACAAATTGACTGGAGTCAACTGTGGGTTTTTTTTAATTTTTTAATTATAAAAGATATGATTCTAATGCATATTTCCTTCCCAGTTGTTTATTCCCAATGTATTTCAAAGTAACATGAAAGCCAAGAAAGAATGAGGTGAAAAGCAGCGATACTTCTGCTTTAGGAGAAAAATCTGTCAAGCTATCTGTTTAAACTAAAAGTTTTAAAAACTCAGCTCTTGTTCACATACATCTATGACTGAGGTATTTTTGTTTGTTTTGGGTACTGGATTCAAAGCCTGGGTGTCATCCCTGTGCTTTTTTGCTTAAGACTAGTAGTGTTCTACTACTTGAGCCACAGCTCCAGTTCTGGTCTTTTCAGTAGTTAATCGGAAGTAAGAGTCTCATGGACTTTCTTGCCCAGGCTGGTTCTGAACAATGATCTTCAGCTCTTAGCCTCCTAAAATGCTAGGATTTCAGGCATGAGCCACCAGCATCCAATTTGAGATATTCTTAATATGAGACAATATGCAACACATTCTGAAGCTCATACCCTATCTCAATAAAGTGTTTAAGACCAAAAAAAATGATAGAATCCCACCTTTCAATGCTAGTCATACCATGAAATCCAGTTTTCTAATCTCTTATTTCCTACTTAAAGTAAAATCCACAACTTAAAATGCCAAAATACTCCCGATTAATAACCTACCTTGCATGTTCCTGAACGCCCACAATCTCTACTTCACTATCTGAAGAGGCAATATTAATTTCTTCATTAAGTGGTGCATTGCCAGATGTCTTGTCACTTGTTAGGAATCCTGGATCCAAATGACCTGAGGGAGGGGAAGGACAGAATACTAGTTTAATTTCTCAAAAACAGCAGAAATAACTCATTGACAGATTTCTCATCAAGGTTTAAACACAGAAAACAGAATAACCCTGTTAAGAGCTTGCCACAGCAAAACTATTACCCATGTCAAATAAGCTGGGGCAGTGTTCTGTTATTTAACTATATATTGGCTTTAAAAGAACAGAATACATATTCATGGCATATATTAAACACTACAGCAGACTTAAAAGTACAGACTCAAAAGCCTCTAAATTCTTATTCTTTAGAAAACAAAAATTAAAATACTTTAATTAGTATCTCCATCTAAATATATCTAGGTAAACTCAAATACCTTGCATTTTAATCTGTAATGCTTTTTGTATTCCATTCTAGTTTGCTTTTAAGTGACTTGCATAACCATCTAGAGGAGATAAAGTATTCTCTGTTCCTTAGCATTTTAGTGGAACAAAATTCTCAACTAGAAATGTTCAAAGGGATAAGTAGAATAAAAGCAATCATTAATAACTATATTTAAACTGGAATGTTTTATGCAAGGCCTAAACATACTTTATCTCTGAAGAATGCAGATCTGACAAAATCTGACTCCAAACTATCTCTAAAAGGGAAGACTAGAAGGAGATGACAATCTGGGCTCTGAGCCACTGAAACATGACCTGTATATACTACTGACAGAGTTTTCATTAGACATAAACCACACACTCTGGAAAAGCACAACAGTCTGTGACACTAAAGCATATAACTTTTTCACAAGGGTCTTTATAAAGTGCTTATTTTATGATGCAGTAAAACACATTCTCTCCAATCCTACAGAAAGCATGAGCTTCAGAGACATCTCTCAACACAGGCTGACACAGCATCAAAATACATGGTTTTAAAAGCTAGAAATTCTAGCAAGACTTTCAATAATTCAACTTATGTGTTCAGCTCTTGAATGTTATAACTAAAAAGAATGAGTTTCTAAAAGCCTCAAAGTTAACTCAAGAGTTGTAATGGATACAAACTTTTATTTACTATTTAAAAAGTATTTATGTGTTGCCAGACATGGGTAGCTCATGCCTATAAACTACTCAGGAGGCTGAGATCTGAGGATCATGGCTCAAAGCCAGCTCAGCCAGGAAGGTGCTTGAGACTCATCTCTAATTAACCACTAGAAAACCGGAAGTGACGTTGTGGCTTAAAGTGATAAAGCACTACTAGCCTTGAGAGAGAGAAAAAAAAGAACAGGGACAGTGTCCAGGCCTCAAGTTCAAGTTCATACTGACCAACAAAAAAAAAAAGACAACAAAGAAAAGTATTAACGTACACCATCTTTGACAAAACTATTTCTCTATACTTGAAAATTAACTTTCACACACATAACCCTCCCTTTGTCTCGCTACTCTTGCCAATCTGCTGAGGTATTAAAAAGTCTTATGCTTTCAGATTCCTATCTCCTTTCACTGTAACCCTTTCATAAAAGAGACAGCTCCAAGGCAAATTTTATAATTTTTTTACATTCTCTGACCCTATAAATCCATTCCCTGAGAGTCTCGCCTAAGAGAAAAGATTTAAAGAAGCAAATGTTATGACATCCAAAGATAGTTACTGTAGCACGAGGGAGAAATTTGGGGAAATGTATAATACATACAATACAAAGTATCACATGTACCACTATAACAATATATAGGTGAGCCAGATACTGGTGGCTCACACCTCTAATCCTAGCTGAAATCTTTTACACCTCTAATCCTAGCTGAAATCTGAAGATCCAGGTACAAAGCAGGCCCAAGAAGAAAAGCCCATGAGACTCTCTACCTCCAATAAACTACAAAAAAACAAAAACAAAAACAACATAGAAATAAAGCTCTGACTCAGGTGACAAAGTGCTAGCTTTGAAGTAAAAGAAGCTCAAGAATAGCACCCAAGCCCTGAGTTCAATCCCCAGGACCAGTACACACACACAGGCACACACACACACACACACACACACACACACACACACACACACACACACACACACACACACACACACACACACACACACACACACACACACACACACACACACACACACACACACACACACGTGTAGATGCAAGGTAAAACTGAAAAGCACTCAAGTTTGAATGAGATTGCTGAGGGGTTTTTTTGTTTTGTTTTGACAATTATTTCCTATTTTTACTTCTTTTTCTTCCATTGACAAAGATCCACATATGTGAAGACAGAACTGAAAAGTGAAAATGTCTCCTAGATAAAACTAGCTAGTCTACATGAGTTTGACATGGATCCTATGAGATAATCCTGCCACTGGACACTAATAAAGTACCCTGCAATCAGACCAAAGATACATTTGCCAGACAACAGTTTTATTCAGTCTAGGGTTTAAAAAAAAAATACAGGCTGGGAAGGTGGCTCAGTGGTAGAGCGCTTGCCTTACATGCATGAGGCCCTGGGTTCCATTCCTCAGCATCACATAAGAAAAAAGCCAGAAGTGGCACTGTGGCTCAAGTGGTAGAGCTCTAGCTTTGAGCTGAAGAGCTGAGGGACAACGTTCAGGCCCCATGACCAGACCCAAAAAAAAAAAAAGAGGTTAAAAAAAATAAAATTTGGGTAAGTCTAGAATTGGTAAATGTAGACCCTTGTTCCTCTCCCCTCCCCCCATCCTATCTTGGTGCACATTGTTCTAACTACTTCTGGGAGGGACTAAAGATAGACTTTTTCTTAAGCCTTCAATTTGTCCATCATATTCAGTAACTCAAGCAAACTTCATCATTTACTTCAGTTTTATATTCCTATAAGTACTGGTTCATGGCATGCTACAAATTATGCTACATAAAAACAACCCACCGCACTGTGGCCCTAAACCATCTATACTAGAAAGATGGAGGTCTTTCTTGAAGATTAAGTTCTTAGCTTAGAATTCAAGAACGATGGTACAAGTCTATAATTGTAACCCCAGTGCTCAGGAGGGTAATATAGAGTGATATATAGCTGGGGATGCTGTAACAGTGAAACCTACTCTCAAAAAAAAAAAAAAAAAATTGAGTACCCTACATAGAAAAGGAATGTTCTGCGGGCTAGAGGGTAATCAGGGAGGGTAAGCTCTCAGGAAGGATAAGGCACAGGTAATAAGTAGCACAAGGAATGTTTTGTTGCCTTCAGGTGAGTTTGGTGAAATGTGGGATAAATCGATCTGAAAGAGAAATGAGAACAAGGCTAGTAACATCAACAGAACTTGGATCATGGAATCTAGACTTGATCTTGTGAACAGGAAAGCCACTGGAAGATCTTCATGGAGGACTGAGTGGCATGATCTGGCTTACTACCTTCAAAGAGCTTTGTTTTGAAGTATAGAAATCAGGGCTGGGAAGGTGGCTCAGTGGTAGAGTGAATCAAACTGACATCAAGACAGGAAAACTAAAGGCAAGTCAACCAGTTAGCCTGTTTAACTTTCCTGGGTGAGAAAGGACTGTGCTGAACTGGGAAAGACACAAAATGGTGGATTAATTAACTAATTAATTAATTTTGTGTGTGTGCATGTGTGTGTGTGTGTGTGTGTGTGTGTGTGTGTGTGTGTGTATTAGTGATGCTGAGAATGAAAGAACATAGGAACTTAAAAAAATGCTTATGTTTCTGATTGAGGCAACTAGCATATACTGCCATATAGTATACTAATGAAAGCAGAAGGTAGCTGTTAATGTGTTTTCAAGACATCCAACAAGCTGTTAGATATCTGTTCAAAATCTCTTTGGTCTAGAAAATAAACAAACACTTGGTAAATCCTCAGCAGTAGTGTAGACAAGAAAATCATTCATAAGAGTGAAGGAAGCATAGAATAGAATCTAGATGAATGTGATTAGGGGCTGGGAGATGGCTCAGTGGTAGAGTGCTTGCCTTGCATGCATGAGGCCCTCGGTTCAATTCCTCAGCACCACATAAACAGAAAAAGCCAGAAGTGGCGCTGTGGCTCACGTGGTAGAGTACTCCTTGAGCTGAAGAGCTGAGGGACAGTGCCCAGCCCAGAGTTCAGGCCTCACAACCAAAAAAAAAAAAAAATAGATGAATGTGATTAAAAAAGTTATAAACAGAGGAAAAGAAGCCCAGAGCAAACGAATATCACAAAGGTGCGATGTCATGGACACTAAAACACATTTCTAGAAGGATGTGGTTTATAACACTCAACTGAGGGGCCAAGTAAGAAGATCTGACAGAACCCTATAGGAACTGAGATACAATGATCACAGATGAACCTTGAAAAGGGGAGTCTCATGAGTGAGGGCAGAAGCCACTGTAGCAAAACTGAAGAATAATGGAATGAAGACAGGACAAATTCTAAGAAGTCTGACTATAGGGAAATGAGTGATGTGGTACTGAGAAACTGATTTAAGAGAGAAAGATGTAGGGGCTGGGAAGGTGGCCCAGTGGTAGAGTGCTTGCCTTGCATACATGAGGCCCTGGGTTCGATTCTTCAGCCCCACATAAGCAAAAAAAAGCCAGAAGAGGTGCTGTGGCTCAAGTGGTAGGGCACCAGCCTTGAGCTGAACAGCTGAGAGAGAGCACCCAAGCCCAGAGTTCAGGTCCCACAACAGGCGAGGAAGGGGGCAAGAGGGACAGGGGGAGAGCGAGAGGGGAGGAAAGGGAGAGAGAGGGAGAGGGGGAGGGAGAGAGAGGGAGAGAAAGGGACAGGGAAGGGGGAGGGGGGAGATAAAGGTGTATATGCAATGCATAATATTTGGGGCTTTTTTGTTGTTTTTGTGTCGGCACTAGGGTTTGAACTCAAGGCCTGGACACTGTCCCTTAGCTGGTACTCTACCACTATAAACCACAGCTTCACTTCTGGCTTTTTGGTGGTTAATTGGAGATAAAAGAGTTTCACAGACTTTCCTACCTGGGCTGGCTTTGAACTGTAATCATGAGATCTTAGCTTCCTGGGTAGCTAGGATTATAGGACTTAGGCACTGGTGCCCAGCTACATGTCTTGTTTCCTAAAAATGTTGGCATTCC